GTGCCAAAGAACATGTATTCTGAGGTGCATCACTGCTTTCCCTAGGTTACATGGGGACAAAATGTTTGCATACAATTTATCCTTTCACTCCTAGTCAGCCAAGACTAAGGAGCTTCTCATTTCAGCTTGCTCTGCAGTTTTGTTTCTCCGTGCAACACAATTTCAAGGTTGCTACTTACATATTGCCACATTTAATGCATCCTTCAAGCTAATACAACCAACTGTCTTTTTTTTTTTTTAATACCATATAACAGTATTCCTCAGATAATTCAGATCAGCTTCACATTCCTCCTTGATGGCTAAATGTAAAGAACAAATACATCTTCATTAACATGACCACTTTGTGAAGGAGGGAAGGAAACCGTAGTTGAAACTGATGGGAACCAAAGCACAGACCAGAACCCGTTTAGATACAAATCTGTTACTGACAGAAGATTTAAAGCTCCTGAGTTGGGAAACATTTAACCCATATTCAGACCCCACATTATTCTGTGGTGTATACAATACGGCTTATAAATTAGGTGCCATGGCCACTGTTTTACAGTAGCAGTTATAAAACCATTGCAGTTTTGTTCGCTGGTCACTGCTGCTGCCACAGAATTGCTGCAGTAACTTTGTTTACTTTAAATCGTATTTGTGGACATTTTCATGGCATCACTTTCTTAACACAGAATCTCATTTTCAAAATAGGTGACCAAATTTTCATCTGGTATGAACCAGCACAGTTCTCAGTTAGTGGAACTAAGGCAGTCTTTATCTGCAGAGCACATGAAAGATCATTATGGGCAAGGTCCTTTTCTCTTCCTTTCTTTGAATGTAGAAATTAAACAAGACTTGTACATCTCTTGCAGGTCCAGAATAAGTTGGAGAAGTTCATATAGGATAAACCCTAGCCCTGATAATCAGGAATTCAATTATAAGTCATCAAAATACCAGTATATGTGTTCAACTGGATGACATTTTCAATGGAGCTGCAGAATGGTGAAGTGACTTCATGGTTCATGTGATGATCTGGGGAGCAAAGTAGATAGTGTTCAAAGAATCCTGAGGAGTGGATTCAGATATTTTATGAAAATGGTGTCTTTTGCATCCTTTCTTATTTGTCTCCGTCTTTTTCATCCTATAAATTTTGATATGTTTGGGTTTTTATCCACCTATACATATTTGGTTTAGTCTGCTCATGTTCATGTCTTCACCTGTGTGGTTAACCTGTCCTAACTTCAAGTAGGAGGTGCTATTACACAGCATGTGTGAAAGAATTAAACAAACACAGCTCTGATCTATCAGTTCTTAGCTGTTTGATGCAGACTCTGCTTTTGGAATTCTCCTCTGGGAAGTCTGAGACTGTGTTTTCATATTTGCTGTCTTGTATCTCCCTTCCATTGTTCCTTTAAAACTGCTTTGGAAACTGCTGGTGCTGCTTTCAAGAAACACCCAGTTGGAGTTGACAGAGTTATCCAAGGACTTGACTGTGGGAAGTCAGCTGATAGCCTGTAAGACATTCCAATCTGAGAAGATGACTTGAGAGATCAATTTAGAGAAAGCAAAAAAAAAAAAAGAGGAAATTTGTTCATCAATATGTAGAGATCTGAATACTAAGTGTGCAAACTGGAATGGTGGAGAAAGTCATACAATGAGAGAAGGCCCTTGGTATAATTTTATACAGAAGAGCACAGACACTACTAAAAAGAAGACAATGGGTCTTAGTTCTCAGACTGGCGTGGAAAGCCTGCCTGGAACCTCCTTGTGGAAAGCACGCAGTTAAGATTGCTGTTGTGTGCAATATTTCAAATTATGAAGTTAACGCATTCCTGCCAGGTTCTGTATTGGTATCATTAACAGATGCCTAGTTCTGTTTAATATTTTCAGGAGACAGGACAGGTATACTGAAGAAAGAAGAGTGTTGCCCCAGAACTCATTCATTCCTGTTGCAGAGAAAAGAAATTATTTTCTTTCAGAAGACTTGATCAATGCAGTAACATGGTCACACATTTATTTTGTCAGTGGGATTAAGTTTCTATAAGAGGGCTGTGCTCATATGGATGTAAGTTCCTGGCATTTTTCCATTTATCAATATTGAAATATTAGTGATCAAGCGTTTACTGAACACCATTCCTCAAATGCAGAGTCTCCACAGCATTTTGTTGCATTCATGGATTTCATTTGTTTGCATTATCTGCCTAACTGGTTCTTTTGTATTGCCAAGGTGATGAACAGATTTGACATTTAGCTGATTACTTCACCAAAATTAAACAGAAAACATGGCAGCCATCCAAAGTTCCTTTCAGTGTGAAAGCTAATTATAAAAATGCTTTGAGCAGCAATTTCTTTTTGGATGTTAAAGTGCTTTTATTAGATTGTTCCCCTGTCATTTTAAAATTTATTGCTAGGCACTTATAAATGGAGTTGCCTGCTGAAGTAGAATTATTATATTTTCTATATTTAAGATGGGAGAAAAAAGTGTATGGAGCAAATTTTAGGCTGAATTTGTTATTATTTTACATGATTCTGAATAAGAAGGAGAATAACTAGTGCTGGCTTTTATGGATCCAAAATATGTAATTTATCTTAGTGCTGAATAAAAACATACTTCTTCTTCACAATTCAGCAACTCCCAATTTCCAAAAACCATTACTTAGTAAATAAAGAAATGTGATTTAAAAGTTGAGTACAGCCCCTTATTGTTAGAAGCTTGTATTTTACAGTGTAGATTAAACGATCAGTGATGATGGGAAAATCAAACCATGTGCTTGTACCTGTCTTTCATAAACCATTACTTGTTCTCAAGTAGCATAAAAGTACTCTAAAGTCATTTTGTTGAGGTCACTGAATAAGAGTTAGCCAAGTGAATATTAACCAGTAAATTTAGAGCTGAAGAGTTGCTGACCAGATCTCAGAAGCAGTTTCTTGTGAAGTATTTTTTAAATGCCTTGGAATATGGTTAACTTTTTGTACTGACTGTTGCTATTAGTATCCTTCGAACCTCAGACAAGGTGTGATCTTGGGAGGTTTCAAGGTGACAAAATTGAGGGGGTTTTGCATCTGATATTGTCTAGCACACTTTGGGAACTAAATCATACTGTGAGGACATATATTAATTCTTGACACGGAGATCTATTAATATACCTTGAAGCCAAGTGAATTATGTGAATCTTCTGTTTCAAGCTGTAGAATTCTGCCATAACTAGGAGGAAATATTTTGCTGTAGGTAGATTAATGTTGAAAGCTTGTCAAGGAAAAGTTTAATGTTGAAAATTTATTCCTCTTTTTGCCAGTACTTGAGCTTCTACACTAAATCCCATTTGTGATCTGAGGAAAAATAGAGATATAATTTCTTTTGTATTTATCTGTGTTATTAGAATTTCAATGATACAGTCTATTGCCTATTAAAAAGTGCATCCCAGTGAATAATCTTCAAGAGGGTAATTTTTGCCCCCATTAATCTGAGAGCTTTTCTTGTAAAATAGAGTAACTGTCATTGCTTATCAAATAATTTAATTCATGCCCATTGCAGGATAAGTAGTTAAGATAACTCAACATTCTGCATTAATAAATAACAAAAACGAGAATAAGATATTTGCTAAATACCCTTTCTGAAGATAATGGATAGGAATTTTTATGGATGTTCAGAGGAAGCTTTGAATTGACTGAGAATGCAGTCTGAACAACAGACCTAAGAAGGAGTCCTAGTGAGAGTACAACACAAATGTGGGTTTGGTTTTGTTTGACTGTTTGAAGTAGATTTCAGTACCAAGCCTTCATAACTCCTCTTTGTATCTATAAAACATCCAGAGCCTGGAGAAGAGGAGGCTCAGGGGACACCTTACCACTCTCTACAGCTACCTGAAAGGAGGCTGTAGCAAGGTGGGGTCGGCCTTTTCTCACAGGCAACTAGTGAGGGAACAAGAGGAAATGGCCTCAAGTTGTACCAGGGAAGGTTCAGATTGGATATCAGGAAGTATTTCTTAATGGAAAACGTCAAGCATTGGAATGGACTGCCCAAGGAAGTGGTGTAGTCCTCATACATGGAAGTGTTCAAGAGATGACTGGATGTAGCACTTAGTGCCTGGTCTAATTGACAAGGTGTTGTTCAGTCAGAGGTTGAACTTGATGATCTTGGAGGTGTTTTCCAATCTAAATGATTCTATGATCTAACTACTTGCTTGTCAACATGATAATTTATTCAGGGATATGTTGAACAGGAAGAAACATAGTACTGTTAATCTGAAAATTCACAGATTATACACTTGTCTGCAGAGAATGTTCCCTTGCTGCATTTGGTTGCTGTCAGATGATCCCATCAGCTGCGCTCTATTGGTGTCTTCCAACAGAGGGTCCCCAGCAATCTAAAGCAAAGTCTGCATATGTGATCTCTCTGCCTGAGCTGTGTAAGAACACTTCAAACACTCTAAAAACATAAACCTACACAATTTCACTCATTTTTCTGTTTCTCTTCAAAGTAAACAAGGAATATGTGTACCTTACTTTAATATAAGTGCTGTACAAGCTCATTAGGAACAGTTTGGCCAGGGCGGTCTTAATAGCATTTTTCTTTGTCCTGTGTTGGCTTTTGTGCCAAGTTCAGAGAGAAGTGACAAAACTAAAAGTGTAGAGCTTAGTGCACACACAGGCTCAGCTTTGAAGGGAAACACACATTCAGACAGGAGCTTACAGTAGCAGTAAGCATTTCCTTATCAGAGCTTATTTTTGGATGAATGTTTAACTTGCGATTTCTGTCAGAAAAAACTTTGTTTGACCAAAATCTATTTAACAGAAACATTAAGGGAGAAGGAAATGCAAGACTCTTTGCTGACCAACAAACTGGGATGCTGAATTCATCTGTAGTTGATAATTGAAACTTCTTATGTCATAGGTACCACCAAGTTTAGGTTATTTTTGAAAATAAACTGGGTAGTTTAGCCACAGGCAAGAAAAGAGACTTTTAATTGCAAAAGTATTTCCTAGAGTATTTCTAACCTATATGTATTTTTTTTCCATAGGTTGATGGGATACTGTGCCTGGCTGACATTCTCACTGATAACAGCCATTCTGAAGCTACTCATGCTGAAGCAGCAGCAGTAATTGCACAGATCACATCTCCACATCTCACATTCACGCAGCATCTCAGCAGCTTTCTGGAAAATATGGAAGAAATTGTGACTGCACTTGTCAGTAAGTTCTCTATGGGACTTCTGAGTCCAGTTAAAATAATAGGTTGAGGAAGGACTCTTTCAATAGACATATTCCCTAAATAATGTTTACCACACTTCCCTTAACAGATAAAAGAACAATTTAAAATTCTGAATCTGAGCATTCTGCAATTACGTAATGTTTTTTACTCCAGCCCACATTTGAATAGTACTTATGTGTATTTGTAAAAATAATATCTGTATGAAAATCTATGATAAGAGCCATAGGAAAGACTCAGCAAAGCATCCTCTTGTCCAGTGTTCATCTGTAAAACAGCAGTTTCTGAGAGCTGCTAACGTTTATGCCTGTTGTATTTTCCTAAACTTACTAGAACTCCAACTCACCAATACATCTACATTTGTATGATAATTCATAGGAAAAGTAGATCATAGTATAATCTGTGGGCATTGTTGCAAGAAAATAAAAGATCAGTCTTTCTTGCCTAGGCCTCTGAGACATGGTAAAATGAGACAAAGGTAACAGCAAGATTTTCTTTAACCTGGGTCAGTGAGGACACTTCAGAAAAACAAGATGATATTTCCCATTATTTTCTAAAGAGAGAAATATCTTATTTCTGGCACTCTGCTTCATCCCTCTCAAGTATCAGAAGCTTTCATTCAAGCATTCTCTTCTCTCAGATCTGGAAATTCAGTTTCCCAGAGCTGCATGTCAGAATGTACAGTTTGGGTCATCTAGTTTGATTTCTCATGTATAATAGATCAGTACATTTGGATATTTCTCCACTGAGCCCAATGGTTACAGTTAAACTGCAGGACTTCAATTTTAATGAATGATCTTGTGTTTGTTTTTTAATAGAACATAAAAAGAGTATAGTAGTACCAGTGTTTGAGGATTCTGCAGTGGCTGGGAATTATCTGAGATGTGTTTAGGCATTATTCAATAGGCCCAAACAGAGTTAGTGCTGTAGAAATCAAGGAAACAATTTATTCCTGATGTCTAGCAGCAAACCTATGCCCTAAACCTGCCCTGAATCCAGTGGGTGGAATTAACCTGTGCTGAGCTTGGTGCTGCTTGTAGCTATACTACTAGAGGGATCTGATCTGATTTATTTAAGATGATTTTCCAGGTTGTTATAGTGTACCACAAACAAGGGACAATCTAAACAGCCTGTCTAGAAGGTATTAGCTGGTGGATCATTTCCTTGATTGTCACTGTTTAAGTTCTACAGGAATTTTAGTAGTATGTATTCTGCCCAAGAAATGTGAGCATTAAAAATAGAACATGTATAACTCTGCAAGAGCAGTTTCAGTAATCACACACCAGTTTCCTTGTAATATTTATAACTCAGTAATTGAATTACTGTAATATGTTTAATTTTTAAACCATGAAGAAATCCCATTACCAGGTGATTCGCTTCTTAGTTAAAGTACATGTGTGCAAGGAATCAAAAGGTAACTGTTTCTTCAGCACTTTTTATTGAAGGTGGGAAATCTAACAAGATGATTTTTGATTATAGAGAAATACACGTAACATGTATATGTACCTTGTTCTAAAGCAGAGGATATACAACAGAATTATTCTCTTATGGATCATTTACTGTCAGGCTTTTGCCTCCTGTAATTAATTTTATTTATTTATATCAAGGTTTATTTTGAACAACATCCAGTGAAATATTCCCTGTAGAATGGTATGCTAGGTAGACCATATCATTCATTAGAGCAAGATGGTTGTAGCAAGATGGTTGTTGGTCTCTTCTTCCAAGTAACAAGTGATAGACCAAAAGGAAATGGCCTCAAGCTGTGCTAGGGGAGGTTTAGTTTGGATATTAGAAGAAATTTCATAATGGAAAGGGTTGTTAAGTGTTGGAACAAACTACCCAGGGAAGTGGTTGAGTTGTCACCCCTAGAGGTATTAAGACGACGTGTAGGTGCAGCACCTGTGGACATGGTTTAGTGGAAAGCTTGGCAGTGATCTTAGAGGTCTTTTCACCCTAAACAATTCTATGATATTATATAATTGAAAAAACGAAGACTTTTTGTTTTGTTTCCTTTTTTATCTCGACGTTTATGAACTTAGTCTTGGCTACTGAGATTATTATTGCAAATTGCAGATGCTTAACCATTGCTTTAAAACACTGCAATGTAGGAATGACTTGTATTCAACTTATTTTCTGCATCCCTAGAACTGTGCCAAGAAGCCTCGTCAGGTGAAGTTTTCTTGCTGGCTTCAGCAGCTCTTGCCAACATTACTTTCTTTGATACCATGGCTTGTGAAATATTGCTCCAGTTAAATGCAATGAAGATTCTTCTAGCAGCATGTTCAGACAAACGCTTAGTGGATACTCCGTATTCTCGAGATCAGGTGAGGAGTTTCTCGGCAAGCTGCTATCTGAGCAAATTTGTGTAAAAATCAACAGGTTTCAGCACTGCCTGTTTTGACACAGCCAAACTGAAGTTACTTTCGTGTATTCCATTCTTGATTATTTTCAATATACGACTCTGCTTCTCCTGCCTTTTTTTTTTAATGAGGATTATGAAATATGACAACTTTAATGTGATTCTACAACAAAGAAAGAAAAAAAAAATTAAGAAGGCACAGTTCCTTACTTCTAAGATACTAAGATTTTTTTTTTCCATTGTAAAGATTGCCAAACAGTGACACAGAGGCCCAGAGAGGCTGTGGAATCTCTCTCTTTGGAGGTATTCAAAACTTGACTGGACAGAGCTTTGTGGCAAAGAAGATATATATGGAGACTACAGCCTAAATATAAAGCTGTCATTTTAAAGATGAAATAGCTCCAAAAGCTGAATAAGGATCTGATTCCCAGCCCATTGACGTCGGTGGGCTTTGGATCAAGTCCTAACTGCCTTGGTAGATGGTTTGCAAATTTTGCTGGCAAATGCTGCTAATGCACTTCTACCTTTCCCTTTCTTTCTCGCAAATTTTTTTTTTTTTTTTTTTTTTTTTAGTAAAGAGACACAGAAAATTAAAGGTCTATGCTAATGCACAGGTAAATTCAGATGAATCCTTTTGCTCCTCTCAGGTACTGCCATGCAATGGGGTGCTGTAGAGGCACTGTTTATTTGGTACCTCAGGGATTAATTTTGTCACAGCAGAGTAACATGTATGAGGCTTGAGGGTTCCAGGAGTTATTGCTAAAGGGTTGAGGCTGCTAGTGAGCCTGCTTGAACTACTTCTATTTATGAAACATTGTGAATATAACTAAATGTCCATAATTCAGGCCTCACAAGCCCATGCCCTTCACATGTCTGAAGTAACCAAAAGATGACTTATGGTAGACTTGGGATCTACACTGCCACAGAAAACTCTGTTCACCCTTAAACAGGAGCCAGGCCACAGAAATTGAGGCACAAAGGACCTTAGAAACTGAGTATTCATGTTCTAGACAGGTTACGAGGGCTGCTTTAGCTTATATTATAATACTCAGTAGTTTTCCAGCTCAGGAGTGTGTATAAAAAGATGGAATTAGGCCATAATTACCATATTGGTCTTTGGACAAAGTCAAGCCGTGGTGTTGACACGGTTGTGCACTATTATTACGTATTTACAATTCATGTTCTTTTTTTTTTTTTTTTTTTATTCCTCCTGCATGCTCTCGTAGTTTTGATTTCCATATTTATTTATGCCCTCATCTTCATTCTGCTGTCAGCTGTGAGTTTGCAGTTTGCTCTGTGGGCCGCATAGCAAGACCCTTCTTTTTATGACGAATGCAGACACTGAAAGAAATATGTATGACTTTTTCAGTAACTGGCTATTTCCAGGCCTTGTGCAGCTTGCAGGGCATCTCATTAGGTAGAACAAACAGAGAACTGAATGGCCTTCTTCCAAGAACTGAGATTTCATTCCCCATAACCCCTTACCTTCCTTCTTGGAATGGAAAACTAGATCAGAAAGGGTGCTGTTCTCAGTGCTGCGCTGCAGGCAGTTTCTGAGCTGACTCCTTGGCTCCCAGAGCAAGAGGAACTATAAAATCCCACCTTCTTTTACTGTGTCCCTGATGTCCAGGTGGAATCTGAGTGCTGCTTATCTTGTCTTTAAGAGCTGCCAGAGTTGCTCATCAAGTCTTCCTTCAAATTCCTGAATAAATGTGTGTTTGACTAAATTTCTCCCCTCATTTCAGTGTTGTATTTTGGGGCATGGATGTGATGTCTGCCAATTATGATGGTTTTATGGAATATTTTGTCTTTTAATTTGCTCTGTGTGTAGTTGCAATGAGGAAAACATGCTCAGCTGGAGAGAAAAACAGCACTACAGTACTAGGTTTTAAAAGGGTATTATAAATTGCCATTTTGCCTTTTGACTTTAATTCCTTTAAGGTACACAGTATAGTCAGTAATTTTTCCCAGTATATATATTATGTCCCAGCCAGTAGACTTTTGCCAAGGAAGAAGTGCATTAAAGATGAGTAGGCTTGGAAATTTTTTGATTCAAGTTTTATTTTGGAATATGCAACCAATTTCAAATATGTTTTCATGGCCTAATATCCATTATGAATGATCAAGGCCAGTAAAATAGATTATTTAGAATTAAGCTGTACTAAATTTTGAAAAGAATAAATAAAATAAGAATAAGTTTCATAACAAATACAACAAATTGTTGTCCAATTACAATATAGAACTTAAGGTAACACATTTATCTTAAGGAAACCTGCCCAGTATTTCTTTATGCATTACTACTTTAGCATTACTGCTGATTTAAGAAAATTCTAATTTGCTGAAACAGACCGAAGCATATTCACGGTAAACCAACAATGGGAGAAAGATGGCTGAAATGCAGGAAAGGAACAATGAACCTTATTTTCCTTCATGCCTTTTTTTCTCATGTAAAGTTGCAGTATATCCTTCTGTACAGCCTTTCTAAGGACAGCTAGAACTGGCTAATTTTCACCCTCTGTATGGTGTAAGTAAACATTCTGCCCAGGATTTGGATGTCGGATACATTGTGAGTTGCCTGCAGAAAGTATTTTCCTGCTCAAGCACCTGTAAAAGTGTTCTGCCTTTTGGCTTCTGGAAAACTTCTGTGTGCAAGTGATAAACTTTTCCTGTCTTTACTATTTGGAAATAAACCTCCTTCTTTGATTTCCCAGGCAGTGTCACATTAGGTCAGGTAAGAAATCTAGAACTGAGTGCTGGATTTGCTTATAAACAAGATTATCATTGTCCATGTTATAGAAGTATGTAACTGCTTCTGTAACCAGCAGTATTACATGAGATTGCTCAGTTTTGTAACTAAATACATTGTATAAGAATCACCACAAAGAGGTAATTTTCCGATCCCTTAGTCATTAGTTTTCTTTGTGCAGATCCTTATTTTCTGAATAGCAGAAATAATACTCTTCAAAGGAGCATCAAAATACCCTTTCTGAAGAGTTCATGCCTAAATTCAGCAGTGTACTGTACATAGTCAGATGTCTTGAAGTTTAAGCACTATCAGAAGAAAGGTTCAGCCAAAACCTTTATCGTTCAGAGTCTTCTTGACTTTAACCGTCATCTTAGACTCTACGTAGAAAAATATGAAATATTTATTTTTGTTCACAGGATGTTTATGTATAATAAATTTTTTTCCTCTGCATTACCACTTGTCTCTTCAGTGTTGCTGGTATTCTCACCTTGCCTGTGAAGCTGTGGAGGTATAGCCTAACACCTTCTCATCTTCTGTTATTCAGGTAGACAAAGAATTAATGTGCAGCGAACACATCCATTTTAAAGACCTGGCTATTCCCAGGTCTAAAAATCAGTAAATCATGTTTCAAAAAAGTTTGAGATGGAGAAAGACTTTTAAGTTGGAAGGAGAAAACAGAAATCATTACTGCTTTTTCCTGCTAAATTCGTTCCTGTTTTCTTGGTATTTGGGAGATGCTGCAGGTTCTGAAGCAGAGACCTGCTGTCTCATTTGAGATTTAAAATCCTTAACACTGTTCTTCCTCTAGGTTTCTCCTTCTTTTCTTTGTTCTTGCACGTTTTTTTCCAGGGAATTTGTGAGGGTTTTTACTGCCTTTCCCCTCTTTTTTCTTTGCAGAATCAAAAGGAGTGCAGACACAGATGTTACTTTAATATAAGGGAGTTTTGATTTTTAAATGTTGCCGAACCCCTGGTGAAAGACTTTGAGAGCAATGATTTTAACAAGAAGAATATTAACAGATTTTTTTTGAAAATCCATGTCTGGATGAAAGAAACTTGCAGTACTACTTCACAGTTTGAGTTTCCTGAATACTGGGGAAATTATTACTCCTCACCAACTATTTGTTTCTGCTTGCTTTTATGAAGACAGCTGGTTATCCCTGTCTTTTCATAAACACGTGAACAACATAATAATATAAGTAATAGTATTGGCTGACATTGTATGGTAAATGTTGTGTTGTTATGTTTCAGGGGTCCAACAATGACTCTCTTAAACACTAAAATTTTTGAGACAAAGTGCCTGGTTAGTTACAATTGTGCCTTTCACACATAGGTTCAATCCAGGATAAGAAAATGTGCTCCAACTTGCAGAGCAAGAAGTTCAGTTGGAAGAGGGAAATCTCAGCTCAGCTGAAGATACTCTGCTATTCTTTGCTAGCTTAGTGTGGTGAGGTTTTCATTCTTTCATCCTATTATTACTACTGCTCTCATTTTGAAGAAACAGTTTAACCTCCCTGCATTTTTGTTTAATCCTCTGTAGAGTTGGGCAGACATTGCACTTATTCTCTAAAGTCTCTCCAGAGGAAGAAGACACATGTTATGTCAGCACAGTTCATCGCAGTTTCTGTTTTCTGCCCCTGCCTGCCAGATTCACAGTACAATCAGGCTGGTGCTGGGCTGTTTACTGCAGGAACTATAAACAAGAGACTTTGCTGCAGGCTGCACCAGTCATAGAGCTTTAAGTTAGAGGTGGGTTTGTGTGCATTTTGCTGCAGTTTTTGTCTTTTTGTCTTCAGTCATTCAGGAATTAAGATAGATTTCAAACAGCCTCTGAGTTTTGCCTATGACTTTTTTTTTCACCCCCCAAGACAGAATCTCTTGTCCAGGTGATGATTGTGATTTCAGTCTTGGTTCTGAGCACGTGAACCAGTAAACAGTGTTTCTACAGATTGCAGTTCCTGGTTTCTTTTTATTCCTCAACTAGAAAATTATTACCTTCTAGGAGGGCATCAGAAATTACTTCCTGAACCACTCTGCTTGAGCTAGTGGAAGTTGAACTGACTCCTTTGAAATGGGCATAACTAAGTTTCTTCCCACATACTCAAACCCTGATTCCAGGGTTTGATTCCAGCTAGACAAGCAAAGTTGTTTCCTACAAAGTTGCTTCTTCAGCTTATCTAGGTATATTTAATTCCTAACCACAAAAATGGCTCTCAGAAG